AATCGTAAGAATTAACCAATCACAGTTGAACGTAAGAAAAATATTCGACTACGATTGGTCAATTCTTAGTTAGTATGATATGAGTAGTGATTAACGGCTTATTGTAGAAAGCCCCTAAAGGTCCATCTTGGAATATAAACTTTCTAAAGGTCAATTTACAATGAGAGTAGTAAGTCGTGAGCCGTAAGAAATTGACCAATCTCATTCGAATATGAGAAGAATAATCAACTGTAATTGGTCAATTTCTTACGGCTTACGACTTACTACTCTCATTGTAAATTGACCTTTAGAAAGTTTATATTCCAAGCAGTTGATAGATAAAGATAAACATTAGTAGCGACATTCTGTCCCAGATGAACCAAATTTATACGGCGATGTTGGAGTCGTCTGTTTTATCAGAAACGCAATAATTTTTGTACAAACTTTTTGTATATATTACTTCTACAGATTAAAAAATTTTTTTCCACAATTAAGGTTCATCTACAATACATCGTATGTTGGGTTGTAAGCCGTAAGAATTGACCAATTACAATCAAATATTCTTCTTACATTCAATTGTGATTCATCAATTTTTACGGCTTATGGTTTACAACCCGACATACGACGTATTGTAGAATGGACCTTAAAGTACAGACTGTAATGGAGCCCCCCAACGTGTGTTTAAACCGAGAATATCTAATCAAAAAATATTCGTTATTATTTATTGAATATTATTTATTAAATATCAAAAAAGCAATGTAAAAGTTCGGTAAATCGTCTACAAATACACATATTTTTGCACCACGAATTACAGATCAAATAAAACGGATGATTCATTGTGTAATTGGTAACACTTTCGGATTTCTTATATGCTTGATATCCATCTTCCACTTGCCCATAATCGCGTTTGCCGATGTCACAATCTGAAAATATTAACAGTTGTTAATTTTTAAACGGCAGTTGTTTAAAATTGGTCTTGGTCAAACTGATTCAATGTGATCATCGTGATCGAAAAAGAGGTATAACAACCGAAATTAAGGCTGGTATTATATTTGTCGTACGATAAAGCATTTCAAGTCTATGTATTGATCGGCTGCAAGAAAGAAGTTGGATCTCCTACAATCAATCAATATAGGCTTGAAATCTTTGTTGTATGACTTGTGTAATAATACTTTTGCGATTCGCGAGATATCCATGATTCAATGTGCAAATTCGTTTTATTTTAAGTCTATTTTACTTTAAAAGAAAAACTTTAATTCTAATATATTGTAATCATAAAACTGTTTTAGATTAAAATTACAAATTTGCCAAACATACCAAATTTAACGGAAATTAAATTTTAATTTCTTAATGAAAAATCTTACTAGATTTTGCATTTCAGCAATGTTTCTCTATTCACCTTTATTCCTAGAAAATTTGTTCCTTTGGCATCTATGGAAGTGTCCCAGTCGGCTTCGAAATCCTTGCTATACAGCAAAGTGATTGCCACTAATGTCTTGTGTCCATGTTGCGGCTTCATGTCGTCCAGAGTGAAGATGATATAAAAATCTTCGAGGGAAGTATTATAGTCAATATTATAGTCCTGTGATAGACTGAGGTGCAGATAAAATTCCTGACCACGTCTGACAATGAATCTTGCACTGTCATCCTTGACGGGTCATCAGCTCGTATCTGAAAGTTCGATGATTCTCACCATTTTCCTTGATGCAAAGATCCACATTGTGAATCGTCGATTCTGGGACGTCGCTTTCTTCTGCGAATGTCAACGTTCTTAAGGATTACGAATATCTTATACAAAAGGATAAAAAAATTACCAATAGTTAACAGCTGGAAATTATGAATTCTCTCTCGATAAAGATGTTAACATTAGACAATAACTAATAAATAACGAACATTTGTAAAATATCTTGAAATAAAATTAAACCATCATTGATAACCATCAGTGAAACCTTTTCATTGATTGAAAATTGAATTGTTGAGAAATGCGAATTCCCATAAAAAGAAATAATATAATAATAATAGAAAACAAAATTTTTCCAGACCCGTTTAAATTAAAATTGTATAAGATTTTATGATCCCAAAAAAGGTTTAAAGATATTTAATCGTTTCTAGGGCTACATTCAAAATTTTGCTTTCAAAACAAATTTTACTGAAAAGCTATAGTGTAACGTAATTAAACTATAGCTTTTAATCAAATTTTCTTCGAAAGCTGCGTTTTGGAATGTAGTCTATGCCTAGATTATTATAAATAATTATAAATCTTCTTAGAAGTTTCTAGTCTCTTGATTGAATTTGAATTGGTGCAAATATTTTTGTCATTCAGTTTAAGACTAAAATTTTCTAATAAGAATATTCTTGCTTATATGTAAAAATATCTATCTTGATTTAATTGTAAGACTAATTTTTTTCTGTGCGGTAACTATACTGTCAAGAGATCTTCCGGAAACTTCCAGTTGATCGTCTTCTTCATGCTCGAGTGGAATCCACAAAAACTAACCATTAGACATTATTAACTGCAAAAACGAATTGAACAAATCGAACGACGACGAGAGACTGACGAAACGAAGTCACTGACAGAAATTCAAACTTATGTATGTATATGCGTGCGATATTGATGTAATATGTAATAAGGTGTTCATGTTTACTATACCGCATTGATATTTCATGCAAACATACATACGATTTTTGGAATATATATATTCGTTTAGGCTTCTAAACTTAATTCTAACAATTCACATGCATTTATTTCTTTATTGTACATTTGGCTCTGTCTTTATTTTGAGCATATAATATCTGCATAACTTTTTCGCGAAGTAAATGTTTTGATAAATTAATAGCACTAGTTGCCATATTGAAGTAAAA